TCGCTTATACCATTTTGCAGGTGATATTTTGCTGATTTTTTACAATACCTTGAGGGGGATTTCTCTTTGTGATTCCTATATTTCTCATCTCTGAAGAACTGACAATTTTTGAGATCAAATAGAGGATGCAGAGATGTAATTCTATTGTTCATACTCCTTTATTGTGGATACTAAACTTTCAAGTCTGTCTTGTCTGCATTTAACATAAACAGTAAGAACGGCAAACAAGTATATAGCATGAATAATCCTGGAAATTGTCATATTTATAGAGATTTCTTGAATACATAGAGCAGAGTAGTGGGGGTGGGGTGGGGGCGTTATTTGTTATTGTTGTTCTTGCCTGCGTGTGTTTATGCATGTTTTAGCCTAAGCCCTGATCCCCATCCTTCCCCTCCTCCCACACAGAACATCAAATAGGATCATATGTGCCCTTTGAACACATGTTCATGCACACAGCTGGGAGTATGGGTTAAAGCGTGAGTTTTGCTGTAAGGTGTTCTCCTACCTTCCCATCTCGCAGTAAAGATGCCGCTAATGCACATGTTGTTGAGCTCGTGTTTAGATAGTTCTCCAGTGCCATCCCACAACTCTTGGGTCCTGTGTGTTCTGTCCCTTCTACCTACTCACTTCCCACGCATCTCCTATGCACTGGAAGCTATCTGCTGTGTTCAGTGCGGGGAGCCCATCAGATACGTAAAGATTATCTACCACAAGGCTAAGGATGGCAAGTCCAGCAACAATCTGTCTGCGTACCCTTACCACAAGGTATTCAACCACATATTTACCGCTGCCCTGAGCATGGAGCCTTCAGTACTGCATAACATGCTTCTAAGCAGGGCAGGTTTGATTTTTTTTATTGTTTTTGGTTTTTTTAAGACCGATGCAAAGATATAGGTGCACAAGACATCCCTTATTTCCATTGCTTCCCTGGACCCAACCCCAGTAATGACAGGCACATCTTTTGGTTGCTTGTATGGAGCCTGCAAACCAGCAGTGTCTTGAGTTCACTCCATGGGAAAATTCTAGCCCTTATCCTCACGGATGTTGTGCTAGCCACAGCATAGATGCAACTGGCTGCACTGGTATCCAGACAGGTTTGTAGGCAGCAACAGCTTGCTTTCAACCTGCCAGATGCACACTCCATCACCATCTGCAGCTGCTAAGTGTGTAATTAATCCTTCTTCTGCCAGGTGCTCTTTGGTGAGGGTATGGTTTCATAAGCCATGGCAGTAGGGGGTAAATGAGATCTTCTAAAATAATTGGGCACAAATACCCCATTGATAATCATGTTATTTGGAGGTAATAAAGTCCCTGCTTGTCCAAATAGAGAAACATCAAATCTCCTCAGCACTCTGGTGTCATGCACGTTTCCTGTACATCCCACATTGGTGTTCATGAACCTGCCTTTGTGATTGAACAAGGCCTGCAGAACAATAAGGTAGTACTCTTTGCAGTTGACATATTCATGTGCTCCTTGTGGTAGGCAAACAATGGGCACTTGAGTGTCGGCAGTGGCCCCAGTGCAGTTTGGAGGCCCCATTCTCTGAAAGTCAGTTATTATTTCAGGCACATTAGCAATGTCTACCACTTGTGGGAAAACCACAGTATTAATGGCCTCACAAACTACCACCACCACATTGACAGTTGACTTGCCAATAGTAAACTGACTATCCATCCACCTGTAGTAGTTAGGGGTAGCCAGCTTCCAGGTGGCAATAACAACCTGCTTCTGGACTGATCCAGAAGGCGGTCTTTAACTTGCGAAAATTCTGTAGCTACTGCTAGTAATTCCAGGTTTGCTTGACAATGTGATCCCACTGTGCTGTGCTAGTTGTCCTGCGTCAAAAGCACTAGTCTGTATAGGAAACCAAAGTTGCAGCATGCAACAGATATCTGCCATCTGCCGTGAATGAGTTCTCCTCTGAGTCTTGTCACCACCTTCCATTCAGAAGGAAATGCTGCTGAAATGTCACTCACCGTCTTCTAGACCCTCTGTTTGTACCCTGTTGGAATAACAGTTCAGCCACAAGTAGAAACAGCTTATCCAGTAGTTCTGGATCCATGGCTTGGCACCAGCTGGAACAGACAGAGCTGGAAGTGCCTCTGCTAAATGCTACACCCCCTACCACACACCTTTCAAGATTCAGGGGTCCTACACATGCCTATCACAACCCAGAATGCCCCAATAACAGCTATGTGGGTGAAACCAGACAATCACTATGCTCTTGAGCGATCTCACACAGGAAAATGATAAAAGACAAAAACACCCTATCACCTGTGGGTGAACACGTTTCACAAAGTGATCCCTCTGTATCTGACCTATCAGGCCTCATCCTCAAATGAAACTGCACAACACTTTCTAAAGATGAGCCTAGGAGCTTAAATTCGTCACTTTGCTAGACACTAAAAATCATGATCTTCATAAAGACACTGGATTTATGCCTTACTATGACAATCCATAATCCACTAACCCCTCTTTTTGGTCCTCTGACTATAGGGATGTTAATGGGCCACTTCACCTTGAATGGTCCCTTAGAATATGTGTTAAGTACTTATGATTAAGGCTGCGAGTCTGTCACGGAGGTCACGGAAGTCACAGATTCCGTGACTTTCTGTGACCTCTCTGACTTTTGCAGCACCTGGTTCTGGCTCAGGAGTTGCCTGAGCTGGGGCTCAGGCTAGGGGCAGGTGGCTGGGGGCTGCGGGTGGGTGCTTACCTCAGGGTGGGGGGGGACTCCCACTGACATGGCCCTGCAGCTCCTAGGCGGTGGAGGGGCCGGAGGGGGATGAGGGGAGGCTCCGCGCCACGCGGTGAATGTGCCCGCAGGCCCCGCCCCTGCAGCTGTCATTGGCTGTGGTTCTTGGCCAATGGGAGCTGTGGCAACCACCGCTTGTGCCCCTCCGTTGCCTAGGAGCTGCAGGGATGCGGCGCCGGGTGGGGAGCCCCTGCCAATCCCGCCAACCCTCCCCTCTCAGCAACAGAGGGGTCCTGGGCCACCTCCCCCAGCACCTGCGGTGCTGCCAGACCCGCCCCCCTCCCCCTCAGAGCTCCCACAGCCCCCACCCAAGTTTTAGTTACAGGTATTTTTAGTAAAAGTCAAGGGCAGGTCACGGGCTATGAATTTTTGTTTACAGCCAGTGACCAGTCCATGATTTTTACTAAAAATACCTGTGACTAAAACGTAGCCTTACTTATGATAAACTATCTGTTCAAACGTATGTTTAGCTGTGACACTTGGAGTATCTTTCCCAGACCTGAGGAAGAGCTCTGTGTAGCTCGAAAGCTTGTCTATCTCAACAACAACAGAAGTTGGTCCAATAAAAGTTATTACCTCACCCACCTGTCTTTCTAATATCCTGGGACTGACAGCTACAGCCATACTGCATTTTGCTAATTGGGCTGGCTAGCTAAGAACACATCCGCACAGAGGTCCAGGAAGGACAGACAAGTTCTTCCACAATACACCAACCAATTCCTAGGGTGGCTTAATTTAGTAAGGCATTAAGAACCCTGGGATACACCCCCAAAACATATGTAACTGCAATGTCAATGTTGATGCAACTAGATGGGTATGGGGCGTGTGCAGCTCTCTAGTGTGGAAATTTGGTGGTGGGCTTGGCAAGCATGTGCATATATCAAGGATTGGCAACCTTTGGCATGCAGACCGTCAGGGAAATCCGCTGGCGGGCCAGGATGGTTTGTTTACCTGCCGCGTCCGCAGGTTTGGCTGATTGTAGCTCCCATTGGCTGCAGTTCTCCGTTCCAGGCCAATGGGGGCTGCAGGAAGCGGCGGCCAGCACATCCCTTGGCCTGCGCCACTTCCCGCAGCCCCCATTGGCCTGGAACGGCAAACCGCGGCCAATGGGAGCTGCGATCGGCCAAACCTGCAGACGCTGCAGGTAAACAAACCGTCCTGGCCAGCCAGTGGATTTCGCTGATGGGCTGTGTGCCAAAGGTTGCCGATCCCTGGCATATACGTATGAGCCAGGACACACATACACTCTGCAGTGTAGACATACCCTTAGAAATCCTCAAGATAGTGTGGTAGACAAACTGATGAAGCCACCAGATAAGTGTTGGTACAGAATAATGACCATTCCCATGTCAGTCTGGCACTTGAACTGTTGTCTTTTCTGCTTTCTTTCTTTTTCTATCCCTTTCCATGTCAGTTAAGTCTTCTTTTGTTTGTTTCCTCCTTCTGCTACATCTTACAGTTTTAACTGTTCAGTCTTTTCTTTTTCTTCTTTCTTTAGCAACTGTATAGTAAAACTAATTTGTTTTGTCAAAGGGATTATGCACTGCAGAGTGCTGATATCTGTATCCCTGTGTCAGCATCACCAGGAAAATTTATAGAGACTCTAGATACTAATTGTGGGTAAGTGCTATCTATGCACATGCACATGCCTGAACATGTGTCTGCTTTAGGGACAGAAATATATGGAGCCAGATTATGGAATCCATAGTAGAATTGTCATTTTTAACCTTTCTTAAGGATAAAATGGCAAACAAAAATGATACCCTTTGTTGATGCATGGTTCTCTAATTCATGCTGTTGCTCTGCTGCAAATCAAAGGCAGAATATGGCTCAAATGTATGTCGGTTTGTAGGTTTTTAAATAGATTTTTATTTTCTGCCATACGACTAGCCATTGTACATATTGAATGTGTTGGTTTTATTCTATCATTACTGATAATTGTAGTAAAATTACTATTCTGAAACTTGATGTTTGCAGGAACTATCCTGTACTATTTTTGAATTCCCATAAACAAGCTTACTTAAAAGCTTTATGATACTGTATATGTCTTATATTTAATAGATTATCCCACTAGTCATCATTCTTATCTCACACAACATGCATTGCTCTACACGTAGCTGTAAAGGACAATATTTTAAACTTATTTCCAAATGGAAGTTTAGCAGAATGATTTTGCTCTGCTTTTATGCCAAAACTATTTACTTTCAATGGCACATTTTTAATGTGTATGGTTTTCCTTTGCAGATCTTGGTCACTGAACTTGAAGCAATCTTTGGATACATGCTTCTACAAACTTGGTGAAGATACACTACAAACAGGTATTGTATAGGATAACTCCAGAGTTGGTCTTACATTTTTTGGTTATCGATCTAAGTTTTTATGACTATTTATTGTAATATTGCACTTCTTAGATCCACTGAAAAATCTCAGTTGTCATTAATGGAGTAATGTGGTAGAAATGTGTATGCTACATTTTTGATAATGTATGTAGTGTTTGCATGGGAAAATAAAGAAATGCATCATGCACACGATTGTTTAGAGAGAACTGCATAGAACTAAATATACAGGTTTAATTTCAAAGTGGGCACAATTGTGGGTGTACATGAACACCTATGTGGTAGAGTTAAGATATAGCCCTGCATTTGGGCCCAGATCCTCCAAACACTGACTTAAGTTTGCTTCTGTAAGTAGTCTCGTTGATTCCAACTGGAATTATTCAAGGTAGTAACATTAAACATTTGAGTAAATGTTTGTAGAATCAGGGCTGTAGAGGGTGAAATCCTGGCCCTACTGAAGTTAATGACAAAACTCCCATTGACTTCAGTGGGGCCAGGATTTCTCCCAGAATGCCTGTGGGGAATGCACAGGCAGTTTCAAAAATGTGTACATTCATATAACTAAGCAATTATTAGCTGATTTACTCAATTAGGTCTCAAAAGTTGGGTCATGCCTTGTGACACTTGAAAATGTTGTGCTACTGGAGATGAAGAATGTGAAATGAGAAGATTTATAAGAGTTTATTCATCCAAAAGGATTTACAGAACTAGATAATCTTTCCATTTTATATCTGAAGAGAAGCAGGGGTTTTCAAAGATATGGATTTGACAAACAAACTTTATTTGATCCTGTATGAGGAGCTTAAAAGATTTAGAGGGGGAAAGGATGAATTGTTCTTATGAAATAAAAACTAGGGTCAGGTCCAGGGTGTAGTGGTCCCCCAGGCAAAGATGGGATTTGGCAGTAACCTGGTTGTTCCTTAATAGGCCCGTCTTCACATGAGTAATTGGACATAGGTGAGTCCTTATTTCTTGGGGGGCAGGATTAGAGAGGTAAATGGATTAGCAGGCTGGAAACAGAATGTCTGTACTAGCTAAAATAAGGGGGAACATCCAGGGAATGATTTACAGTGAACAAGATAACAATTGGTAAAATAAGCCTGGAATGTAAGGTGAGGTAAAGAGTAAGTTGCATATGGACAGTGCATGCTGTACAGTGATTGGTGTCGGCAGTGACCAAGCCCATCCCAAAATGTTTAATGAAATGAATAGTTTCATCTGTAGATCTTAGTGTGTTTTGAAAAGCTGGAGAAGTACCATTATCTCAATTTTCTGGAGGAAAAAATATGATTTTTTTTAATTAAAAAGAAGATTTTTTTAAAATTTAAATTGGATTTTTTATTTAAATTGAATATGTTTGTTTATAAAAATATTTACAATTAAATTTGAAATTTACAACTTATGTTAAGTCCTAAACTTGCTATAATCTATTAAAATCACTTAAATTAAATGGAAAAATAATATTAAGCAGTACATATTTGGTGCCAAATTCTAAAGAAACACCACTGAACTGGTGGAAGTCACTCGAAATCAGAGTTTGCTGAAGTGCTAAACTGGCTTTTGACAGCAGTAACCTCTTCTGCGGGTACAGAGAGAATATTTTGTGCATTACAGTGTATTCAACTGGTTTTGTTCAGTGATTAGTTCATTCAAAGTTAAGAAACCAATAGGGACTTAGGCAAAAGCAGGAAAGCTTGTTTTTCCTCTTCCAATCTGTGGATAAAATTTAGGTTTGAGAAGATGAGATCTACTAATTCTAAAATCTTGAAGCATAAGGTGACCAGAAAAACAATCTGTTCAATTCGCTAAGCACAGAAGAATAATGGTTTAGATAGATAGATAAACTGTTTAATAACTAGGTTACTTTTAAATGCATAACATGTTTTGATAAACCTTTTTTTCTTATGTATCCAGCACACTGAAGGTACTTTATTTAATTAAAAATAATAATTAAAATGCTATTTTTGTGCATTTTAATTGATTTGAAAAGAGAGCTTGACACAAATTGCAAGTAAAAATTAATCATCTAGTAAATAAGATATGCAACATTCACCATTTTCTAACATAATAAAAATGTAAAAAGTAAGAATCTGAATAAGTGCAAGTTCAGATATCTAATTACTTAAATAAACATGTATTATAGTAGTGCAGTAGTTCTATAACAACTTTTATTTAAACCTAGACCTTTCTAAGTCCTATAGTATTGACATGCATTGTCAGAGTCCTTTGAAATTTGATGCTCTTCAGGAGGGTGCAGTATAGGGATAGTGATTGAAATTTGGGATTATTCGAATTAGGGGTTTTGGAGATATAAACCCTGAAAAAAATAGCTGTTTTTCAAAAAGTTTTTTTTTGCAGAGCTAGAGATAAAACTATTGATGTGATGCAGGTCAAAACCATCTCAATCTGTGAAGTTTTACCCAAGGTAGTGTATGACACCCACTAAATCTTTGGGGGCCCCAATCTGAGCATAGTATGTAAGAACATGTTTGCTTCTTTGCTTGCATAGATGTGTAGTCCAGAAGGATTGTATTGTGCATGCACCAATAAAGAAAAAAAACCTTGAGAGGATTTCTATGCAGCCACTTTGTACTTACCTGGTTAGTTTGAGGGAATGTGCCAATGCTACTGCCTCTGGTGAACATCCCACCATTGACATTTCTAATCTGTACACCTGTGCAATAAAGATTTAATAATTCATAGCTTGCTGCAAATTGTCTCTGTTATAATGTGTTTTCATTTTATGGGGAGGTTTGCTGTGAACAGAGCAGAATATTTTTGTTTCATCAGATGGGGAGGAGCCAAAGACAGCAATTGGTGTGTATATGGGGGTGGAGGGTGGCAGGACAAGGACAGGGAGTGGAGTTGTGGCTGCAGAGGGGTTGGGCAATGAAGATGGGTGGTAGGCAAGTTTTGGACTGGTTGTTTGAGGAAATATCTGTATTGTAAGCCCCTGAGGAGCTGGGAAGGGAGGGAGTGGCTACTTGCTGAACTCAGGGTAGGTTAATGTGGTGTTTTCAAAGACACATAACATGGAGGTTTGGAACTGACAGTGCAGGTACCTTGACCACTGAAAGAGAAGAAATATGTGTGCTACCATATTTCCAATGTGTGGATTCTGGGTGATTCCTGGATCATGAGGTTGCAAAAGTTTGTGAGAGAGCAAGGGGTATAGCATGACATGGGGACTGCTAACTGCAGGCTGATTTTGGAGGAGAGCGGTGGCCTGCGTTAGCATCATATTTTACCCACTCTGCAACATTTACGTGGTGCCGTAAGAAGTTGTGATCTACTGGACATTGGGTGAGTCACTCGGGCAGAAATGATCTGGGACTTATTCCTGGTATACACATCAAATTATGTCTGAGAGCATATTTGGACTGCATCAGAGATTTGTGTCCAAGAGCAGTGATGGCTTTCTCTGACTTGTCTGAGCGTCTACATAATTGCCTCAGTGACAATATGAAAGCTATTAATAAGTTCTAGAAGAACATTTTTGGGGAAATTTGAGGGTTCATGGTGTCACAGTTCAGGGCCACTGCACCTTCCTTCCCCCTCCCTGGCCCAGCAAGGGCACCCACTCTTGGGCAGAGAAATGAGCCCCTCCCTCCTGACCAGGGTATTTCCAGGCTGCACAGTTCCCTGCCTGCACTGTGAATTCCCCAGCAAGTCAGACTGCCTAAGCAGGCCTCCTTTCCCTTCTTCTCAGATGCTATAAACAGTGTCACTGCCCATGGTTTAAGGTTACCACGCAGCTTTTTCTAAGCAAGCACATTTATTTTTAAGGGACAAGCATTACAGAAAAAACATGTTAAAACAATAAAAGAACCTACATGCATGTTAAGTTTACCAGAGATCATCCACCACCTCTCTCCACAAGGGCTTGGGTAGGTGTCAGTCCTTCCTTAAGGATTGGTGCCTGCCCTTTGGACAGAAAGTCCTTTCCATTTGCTGGATCAGAATGAAGGCCCCGAGTCAGTTTAAACTCTGGCTATTTATCCAAAAGTCCTTTCATTGTCTGTTGGTCTCTGGCGAATCCAGTTTGAACCAGGATCGTTTGAAACTTGCCAAGGAGGTGTTACCTCTTTTGAGGTGTTACAATCTAAGTGAATTTGCCTAAGCCACTCCTCCCACCCCTGTTCTTAGACCCTGGAGAGGCTGTGGTTACCACACTTCCCCAGGGAATTACACGCAATCCCTGGATTCTGTTGCATTCTGGAGGTACACATGCGGCTCTTCCCCTTACTCACACATGTCAGAGTCTGCAAACATACATCTCCTCATATAATCACGGCTCTGTCACACACCTCCAAGTAATCCATGTGTGTTGCAGGCCCAACTTCTGCCTCCACTATTTAGTGTAAGAACACCTAATACACTGACTGCACCTGGATTGTATATAAATAATTTCCATTGGTTACTGCCAGCTGCAGGAGAACAGAGGGAAGATGATGTGGGCAACTGATTCTTTTTTTTTCCTTTTTGTCCTTTTAGTGTTAGACAGAATCCTCTGGGTGAGCGTGAATGGGGGGTGTGTGTGTAAAAGGAGTTAGAGAGCCTGTACATCTCAGCAACTGTGGCGTTGGCAAAGGAAAGTCCTGCACTTAGGAAGGAAGAATCCCATGCACTGCTACAGCCTGGGGACTGACTGGCTAAGCAGCAGTTCTACAGAAAAGGACCTGAGGATTACAGTGGATGAGAAACTGGACATGAGTCAGCAGTGTGCCCTTGTTGCAAAGAAGGCCAATGGCATATTGGGCTGTATTAGCAGGAGCATTGCCAGCAGATTGAGGGAAGTGATTATTCCTCTCTATTCGGCACTGGTGAGGCCACACCTGGAGTATTGCGTCCAGTTTTGGTCCCCCCACTACAGAAGGGATGTGGACAAATTGGAGAGAGTTCAGTGGAGGGCAATGAAAATGATTAGGGGGCTAGGACACATGACTTACAAGGAGAGGCTGAAGGAACTGGGGTTATTTAGTCTGCAGAACAGAAGAGTGAGGGGGGATTTGATAGCAGCCCTCAAAGAGGATGGAGCTAGGCTGTTCTCTGTGGTGGCAGATGACAGAACAAGAAGCAATGGTCTCAAGTTGCAATGGGGGAGATCTAGGTTGGATATTAGGAAACACTATTTCACGAGGAGGGTGGTGAAGCGAAGCACTGGAATGGGTTATTTAGGGAGGTGATGGAATCTCCATCCTTAGAGGTTTTTACGGCCCGGCTTGACAAAGCCCTGGCTGGGATGATTTAGTTGGGGTGGGTCCTGCTTTGAACAGGGGATTGGACTCGATGACATCCTGAGGTCTCTTCCAACCCTGATATTCTATGATTCTATGAAAGGTATGTGTGTGAATGGGTCTAATAGTGTGTTGCTGAAAGAGGGCAGAGTTAAGGTTGCATGGACAACTTTAACTGTGCATTTGCTGGTTTTCAGAAGTTTGTTTTGCTCAACTCAGTGTTCTGCAAGGGTATGATATACCACCAAGCACCTTAACTCTGCATTAACGTAGTTTTTGGCCATAGAATAGATATAGTGTACCCTTCTGGTTTGCAAAAAGAAGCACCATATTTAGTGTAAAAAGTATATTTGGTTGCACATCAATGTGTTTTAATGCTTACCAACTAATGAGACTCAACCTTTCTTTAGGAAAATAACTAAAAGGTACAAATACAGATCAATGAGTAAAATCGAGGATTTAAATCAAGGTTTTCTGTTTGCTGATTTTAAAGCATGATTAAAATTGGTGATTTAAATGCATTTGATTTTAATCAATATACCCTGATGAATGGGGGAACCTCAGACAGCAAGAGACCAAGTGTCTTGCCCAGGGTGATACAGTGAGATAATTTCAGAGCCAGCAAAAAACTCTCAGTCCTTTGCTGCCAGAATTCTAGCTGTAAGGCAGCTGGTACAACAGATCCTGAAATGCAAATTTTTCTGATTGTGTCTCCCTCATACTTCCAGGCTCTCGTCACTTCTTTCCTTTTCCTTACTTCTCTCCTTTTCATCTGTTCCATCTTCATGTTGTGCCTTTGTTCTATAATTTGTTTTTCTTCCCTGTTTATTTTGCCTTTTCACATCTTTAGTGTTTTCCTTGCCTTTTTAATTCATTTTGGGTCTCCGGGGGGTCAGCAGCAGTAGTGTTATACATGGGAGGGGTTGCGGATGAAAGATGGAAATTCACTAGACCCAGTTTCCTTTTATATATATATATATACACACACACACATACACACACACACTCTTCATGGAGCCTGTTCTAAAAGGAAACTTGCAAGCATTCTTGTAAGTTTCCCTTTGCATTCAGCTCTGTTGGGTGTCCCCTTTGACTTTGTGCCTTATGGGCACCTGCTTTGCAGTTTATGTCTAAACCTAACTGGAATAAGAACAAACTTGAACCTTATCCTATTCCTAAATAGAACTTAAACCTTTATTAAATTCTATACAGTGATCCTAGTGTTGTCTCTAATGTGACCCATACTTAGGCATGCACAAGCAGATATATACTAATAGGGATGCTACTTTGTCTGGACTATGTTTTGTTTTGCCTTGTGTGTCTGTGCTGGGGCTGTAGCAGAACTCCTGGAGCAGTAGGAGTAGCTCTGACCTAGAAGTTCCAGTTGTGAGTAGGGGAACAGGCAGCCATGGTTCATCTGTGGACCTGCAGTCCTAGAATGTCGGCAAAATGGCCTTTTCCTGCCTTCCTTCTACTCACTGATGCCCTTTCCCAGAGTGAGGTGAGTTGCTCTCCTTTTCTTACTGTGCTGTGCATCACCCTCAGTTACTGAGAATTATGCTTTAAGTTTTACAGAGATACAATGTGCCAGAAGTAAAGCACTAAGCGATGTATGACTTCTCTGGCTTAGTTAATTTTCCATTGCTCCTGGGAACTACTGACTGCATGCACACAGCTGTTTGGGCACCACCCAGTGACAAAGTGATTCTTCACAAATAGCAAGCCTATAAAGCCATCAGTATTCAGGCTGTAGTGTATGAGATGCCAAGTACTGATGAGGAAGCCAAATTCTCTGAATCCTGTCATTTTGCCCAAGATTCCAGGAAGGAATGATTACATATGTGCACACATTCTTTGACAATCTACCAGGCATAGAGTATTTGTAAACGTAACCTCCAATGGAAAAATGGATTTGTATGATTTTTTTTTAAACTAACAGTGGTTGTGTAAAAGTGCATTCCCATTTGACTCTTTGTCTGAAGTACTTTAAAAGTGAATGGGATGCACTTTAGTGTTTATGGCACGTAAGTTTGTCAGGAACATGAAAGAAAAAATAAAAGATATTGTGTCAAATTGACCTCAGTTTATGTCAGCATAGTCCTGGTGGAGTGCCCTGATGGCAAACTCTTTTGCAAGGGTTCAGGTTATGGTGGCAGGCAGTAGCTGTAACTAATCTAGTTGATGGGAA